CTCACCGCAACCTCCGCCTCCTGGGTTCAGGCAATTCTCCTGCCTCAACCTCCTCAGTAGCTGGGATTACAGGCACGCGCCACCATGCCCAGCTAATGTTTTTGTATTTTTAGTAAAGACGGGGTGTCACCATGTTGACCAGGATGGTCTCGATCTCTTGACCTCGTGATCCACCCGCCTCGGCCTCCCAAAGTGCTGGGATTACAGGCTTGAGCCACCGCGCCCGGCCTTGTCCTTTAAGTTAAGGTAGGTCCCGCCCCTCCTCCAACTTCAAATGGCCCCCCAGGCTGGAGAGGGTCACTGGGCGGGGAGTTCCTGGCTGTGCGGTCACACACACACACACCCCGACACACACACACACACACACACACACACACCCCGAGACACACACACACCCCGAGACACACACACACCCCGAGACACACACACACACACACACACACACACACACACACACACACACACGCCGCCTCGCGCGCGCTCGCGGCACAGCACCTACTTCCCAACCCCAACCACACGCACGCACCCCCCCCCCCCCCCCCCCCCCCCACCGGAGTTCTGTATTTCCTCTTCCTCAAAGCGACTCCGGCGATCGCGGTAGCCACTCTGCGCTCGGAATTCCGGGACCCCGGCTTGCCGCCGCCCCCTTCTGTGAAGGCGCGCCCGGTGCGTCCCCTCTCCGAGAGCCGAGATTTCCACGAAGCTCCACAAAGCCCCTCGCCGCCTCTCCCGGTCTCGGCGGGGACCCCGGCGTGTCCCCGGGAGGAGAGTATTTACTAACCAGAGCCCCCGGGTATCCGTGCTGCCCAGACCGCCCTCTCCCGCCCTCCCGGCCCCCCTCCCTCCGGCCCATCACCGCCCCCTCCCACGAGCGCGCTCGCTGGGGGATTCCCTCCCATCCCCGAGTGCAGGAGAAGACGCCGAGTCCGAGCCGCCAGCCGCTTCACTGGCTCTATAGGAATCTTGACTCCAAGATCCCAGCCCCACACATTCCCGCTCCCCAATACCCCCGCGCCAGCGTCGCAACCCTCCGGCGCCCCCCTCCCGCAGACCCCGGTCGAAACGTCTCGCGGGCTCCCGGGCCCGGGCCCTGCGCTTCATCCTCGGGCGCCGCACCTCCAGCGCCCCCTCCCTCCGCTCCCACTCCCACTCCCGCCGCCCCCCGAGCTCAGACTTCCCAACTGCAGAGCGCCCCGACGCGCCCGCAGCCCTCGCCCGGACGCGCCCGCAGCCCTCACCCGGCCGAGAGCGGCGACCCCAGGGAGGAAACAAAAGTGTCTCCGCGGCGCCCGGAGTCCCCCGGAGCAGGACACCTCCTCCCGGCCCCAGTCCCGGTCCCCTCCCCAGCTGTGCTGAGGTCAGCCAGTCGGGGCGCGGCGCCAGCCCAGGAAACTTTACGAACCTGCCGGGGTCTCAGGACAGCGGTGGCAAGGGTTCCTGGAGATCAGAGCTCCGGCGACCCGCGACCACTGGAGGGGAACTGGAGGCTCTGTCGCCCAACGTGGGGCCGCGGCGGCGTGGGTGGCTCTGCCTCTATCCTGTGCCCATCCTCGCCCGCTCCCGCTCGCCCCAGCACACGCACTTACACTCCGGGTCGGCCGGCTGCTGCACCGCCGGCTGCCGCTGCTCTCACTTCCTCTTCCTTCCTCCTGCTGGCCAGAGACACATTTTGCATCTGCAAGGGATCGGGAGATCAGCCGCGAACTCTCCTCCCGAGCGGACGCTGCGGAGTTGCAGCCGCCGCCCCCGGCACCTGCGCCAGGACACTCGTGGTCTGCGCGTTCGCCTTGCGCCTGCACCCTGGTCCCTGCCCACTGCACTTTGCCGGGGGGGGGATACCCACGACTTTTTGAAGTCCCCCTACTTAAAAAGACAGAAATGTCAAACACCATGCATGCCTCAGATCTGCTATAAATAATATGTGTGCAGAGCATGACTTCGATGAGCTCACACGCGGCGTTTGGAGGCACCAATTAACTCCGTCACCCTCATAGCGCCACCTCCGGGAGGCCAAAAGCCAGTAGCATCTCCTTACATCTTTTTTCTTCATTTTTGGCAACCGATTCCGGGTATTAAGGGGAAACTTCGGTGGGCTGTTTGAACGCTACTTTAAGACGTGTTTGTTTTGACGCTGTGCCTCTACCCTTGGACAGTGGCAAAAATAACAAAACGTTTCCTCCGTCTCCGTCGACATCTACGTATTTACTAACCCTGCAATTTAAACTACAAGATATATTTCTAACCAATTAAGCCAGAAACTTCCTAATTTTGCATAACTTTGCATAAGGTAGGACGTTCTACCCCCAATTTGGTATTTGGAATAAATTACTTAATTCATGCAACCTACTTACATCGTTTTCAAAGCAGAAATCAAACACGTTAACTCCCAACCTAGCTGGCAGGAGGGAAGAGATTGCAGGAGAAACACCTGTCCTCACCCAATTCAGAAATACCTACATTGGCAAAGGAGATAAGTTGGGGGCAGGGAGGCATCAGAATCAAAGCGGAATGCTAAGCTCCTTTCTAAGATCCTCCCCCTCAAGAGCCACTGGCAACTGTTGAGCACTGAAATGTGGCTAGCCCTGAGGTATTCTGTAAGTGTAAAACAGACATACAATTTCTTATTTTTAAAAATGAATGTAAACTAACTTGTTAATTATGTTTGTATTGATTACATTATTGCAATACATGAGGTAGTTTGATGTAATAAGTCACTTGGGTTCATCATGTATTGGGTTAAGATATAAGCATATGTAAGATTAATTTCACCAGTTTCTTTTTACGTTCTCTGATGTGGCTACTAGAAAATGTAAGGTTACACATAAACTCTCATTAGTGGCTCATATTATGTTTCTAATGAACTAACTAACTCCTTATTATATGCATGACTCTGGGAGGCAGTATTAGTATCAAAAGTGCCTGGGTCCAGATGGCTATAAGTCAGTAACTAAAGCAGGGTGATTGCAGGAAAGTAACTTCTGTATTTCCTCATCTATAAAACAGTAATGATGTAATAACAAAAGTCAACAGCACAACTATTAAATGAGGTAATTTAATAAGCAGTCAGTAAATGGAGCCTTTACTAACGATGCTCTCAGACGCTTGTAGTGATAAGTATGAATTTGATCTACAACCTTGTAGCTAAGGCATGTAGACCTTAACTTCAGCGCATGTGTGGTGAGCACTCAGCAAACACTAGCTGTCATAATTGTTCATTCCTTGCACAGCAATTATGCAAAACCACTTCCCTGTAACCTTTGGTCCCAGGTCTGCACATCTTTACTTCATGAGGTAGTCTTTCAGATCTTTGAAGATGGCCTTCAAATTCTACTTAAACACTCTCTTTTGAGGATTAATCATTCTCAATTACTCTGACCCTTCTTCATGTGATATGGCTTCAAATCTCTCTCATCTGAGCCATCTTATTCCGGAAGGGTATCGTCTCTGCCCTTAAAAAATAATAAGTAATTGTCCTATAGATTAATTACCTAATTAACCATTAGCAAACACAATACAGTCTGAGATCTTCTCTCTCTCTCTCTCTCTCTCTCTCTCTCTCTCTCTCTCTCTCTCTCTCTCTCCCCCTCCTCTTTCTTTCTCTCTCTGTCTCTCTTTTCTCAAATACATCTCAATGTTGATAGAAGTGCAAAAGGAAGACTGGAAATTCTTTATGGTGTTACAGTTAGGCCATGTCTATGAACATGGAGTTGATCTTTGGAACTAAATTCCCTCATCCACTTTCTCTAATCCCTTAGGATTTGACTCAGGCATCCACTATCTCCCCATATCGACAGATTACATAAAAAATACAAAGATGCCAGATGACATCCCGCTAAGGAGCTCCCTCTGCTAAGCTGGGAGAATAGCATTCTTTGGTTCACTGGTTATTAATAACCCACTTAACAGTGCAATTGTCAAACTTCAATTTTCTGTTCTATTCATAAAGACATCTTAGAAGTATTGTCAAGTGTTTTAAAGGAACCCGCCTTCCCCCTGGGCTCTGCTGGTGGTCAGCAGTGGATGCAATAGAGTGGAATATACAGTGGTGTCATGTATGTGGGCTGCATCTTTGGACCTGGTTGTTGAGTATAATCCTAGCATTACCATCTACTGGCTGCATTACCCTTAACTCCTGAGACTGAAACCATACCTACCAGATACGGTTGAATGAAGATTAAATGAGTTAATTCATGAAAAATTCTTAGAACGGGGCCTGACACATACATCGAAACATGCATTGAATGTTAGTTATTGTTATCTATAACAGGTCTTCAATGGACAAGTCATATTAACAGATTCAAAAAACAGAGGAGCAACATCCACTCCCTCTTTTAACATGTCTGTCTCCACCCATAATGGAGAGAAAGAGTGGTTACCACTGTCCCTTCTCAGCTCCTGGTCACAGCTTGGGCCATTCAATCACTAGGTCATGCTTTAGCAGAGAGGAGCACCATTTTATAACAAGGAACAGAATCCAAGTGCAGTCCCTTGACTTGCACTTCCGGTAAGCCAACCTGGGCAACAGTCTTTGTGCAGATAGGTCAGCCTTATCCACTTCTCAAGTGGCTAGGGAGATGGATTCAGGATCTCCTCTGTAGAACCATCCATCTTGGCTTCAGGCTAAGTGGAGGAAAAGAGAACAGGGTAGGGACAGATGGCTGGAAAATCAAAATCACTTAAGCCTCAAGTCTAAGCTTCATTCCCCCACAGTGTTTTTATAAGAAAGCTTTGCATTGTTAATGGATAGAGAGGTATTTGGGGCAGTTTCTCAGATTTAAATACTTTGATCTTGTGTTTCTCCTATCTTTGTCTTTCCTTGTGTGTACAAAACTCCAAAATAGGAGGATTGAGACTCTATCAAAGTGTCACCATGCAAAGTGTCACCATGAAATCCCCAACTGCAATAATGGTCTGTCGTATTTTTAATCAATGACGACTCAGGTTGATCACCTCCTTCCTAAGTGCTCATAATTATTAATTTATATATATTTTTAACTTTATTGGATTCTAAATGGGCCCTGTGCCTTTAATAATACATTTAGTAATTTGCTTCAAATTTCTGCTCCTAATCAGCACCAAATTCCTTGATCTATAGTTTGACAAATCGATTCCCTTTTCTTGTGTTAGAATCAGGCTCATGCTGGTTTGCCTCCAGTCTTCAAACAGCTCTAGGGGCATAGACAGTTGCCTCAGCTCCAGGAAGCCACTGTACCAGGGATAATGAGATCTGGGCAGCAGGCAGACACCTGTAATTTAGAGCCACCAGGGTCAGCCCTGGAACAAGCAGAATGACACAGAGGGCTGCTGTGAGAGGGCATTCTTTCACTTGATCATTCACTAATTCAACGTGCACTGAATACCTTAAATGTGAGTTTAAAAGGGAGAAAGGAAGAGTACAATGATGAACAAGAGAAACATGGCTTGCCCCCTTTTGGCACTTCCATTCTAGCTCAGAAGACAGATTTTAAATGGCCATAAAAACAAGTGAGGAGTATAATATTGGGAGAAGGACAGAAGATTGAAGAACTATATGGAGACAGCGATGCTAACATCATCTGTAAGTCAGGAAAAGCCTCCTGGGGAAGTTCTGTTGATTTGAGACCTGAAGGGTGAGTGAGGAGGTGTTATCCAGGACAGAAAAAAGAAATGAAGTGGGTTGGTAATGAGGAAGGATTCTAAGCAGAAACAGTTAACGTATGAAGGTCCACAGCAAGCTTGTCCAACCCATGACCCACAGGTCGCATGTGGCCCAGGATGGCTTTGAATGTAGTCCAACACAAAATTGTGAACTTTCTTAAAATGTTATGAGCACAGACAATTCTTCTTCTTCCAGCGTGGCCCAGGGAAGCCAAACAATTGGACAACCGTGGAGAAATTACAGTGTGGGAGGAAACTTAAAAAGTCTACTTGGCTGAAGTCTGAGAGTATCAAAATTAAATCTATGAGCAGTGGGCAAAAGCCAATATTTGGAAGCCCTTGAGAGTCACATCACAGAATTTGGATATATTAAGAATGATGGAGAGGCCTAATAAGCTTTGGATTTGCTTTGTTTTCCACTGAAATGTTTTAAGCAACTTATTGTTGTGGTCAGCTGTTGTGTTAAAGGTCATCCTACTAAATACTGAATGAATTAATGGGGAGACAAAAATGCATGTGGGAAGAATAGTGCCTTAGTCTGCTCATTCTGCCATAACAGAATTCCATGAACTGGGTGGCTTAAACAGCAGAAATTTATTTTCTAATACTTCTGAAGGCTGGAAGTCTGAGGTCAGAGTGCTGGCATGGTTGACTTCTGGTGAGGGCTCACTTCCTGGCCTGCAGACTGCTGCCTTCTTACTATGTCCTTACATGGCATAAAGAGAAAGAGAGAGCTTTCAGGTATCTCTTATAATGGCACTAATCCCAGTAGGAGGTCACCACCCTCAAGGCCTCATCTCAACCTAATTACTTCTCAAAGCCCCATCTGCATATACCATCACCATGGGAGTGAGGGCTTCAACATGTGAATTTTGGGGGAGAACAAGCATTCAGTTCATAACCAACAGATACGAAATTATTGCATTGAGGTCAGAGATGAAGGGAGCCTAAGTCATGCATTGACTGAGAGGCTGAGGAGCACTAGAGGAATTCAAGTGTTAGTTATGTGTGCGGTAGAGAGCACGTAGAACCAAGGTTCACCCTAGCTGGGGAAGCTCTCAAACTAGCAATTTGCTTTTGTCTTCCTGCTCAACCAAACACTAAACTTGCTGACTTTCTTGCAGCCTAGCGTCCAACACAGTATCACCTACAACAGTTACCCCCAGGTCAAGGAGAGACTCAAGATCTAAAAGGTATGAGTCCACCCTTGTTTGACATTCTGTGACACTATTACCTTACATTCATCTCCAATGTGTCCCCATGTCTTAATCATTATATTATTGTCCATTGGTGAAGAACATCCACCCACAAATGCAAAATTTATTCTCTGCACCAGTATCCCTTTGCTTCAGCCATTCCACCTTACTTATAAACAAAAATATATCTCCATGGACTTCTAAGTCACCTATTAACCGGATGTGTCCTCCTGGTTAGAGTTTTGCTGGGTAGATTTATCAAGACTTTTTAGATCTATATCCATTGTCTACCACCCAGTGCCTAAAGATCAACACAAAGAAATAGTATTAATCAGTATCTCAAGGAATGCCTCCAATATTACAATAAATCCTGATAGAAGATTGACTCAACAGTCTGATGAGAGCAAAATTTACAGAATATTTAAATGCCCATGCTTTGAAGTCTACAGATGTGAAAATCCTAGCTCTACTTCTTAATATCCAGGTGACTTTGGACAAATTATTGTATTTTTCTCTGAGCCTACAAAACAGGGATGTTAGGATAATGATACTTCTCTCAGACAGGGCCTAGCATGACTGAATGCTCAATAAACGGAGTCAACATGAATGCTAACCACTATGCACTTGTAATGGTTATTAATCGATTGCATGACAGGTCAAAGTATCAATATTCTTTACTTCATCTTCAAAATGTTTTAAATAAATATCTGTCCACTTACTATTATTAATAAAGACTATTAGTAAATATTTACTAATTTATAGCTACATAATAAATATATACATTCACAGTCCTAGTTAGTCCTTAGAGGTCAACACAATCAGTTTCTTCTTTTTTGAATTTTTTGGTAATTCATGCCATGCTTCTAACTGTTGATACTATTTTGTTTGATCAACTTCAGACAGTACCTATTAACTCCCTCCTCTGAAAGATTTTTATAACTTTTGTTTACTTAACTCTCTTTCCTAATTCTTCTATTATTTCTTTGATTGTATAATAGTATTCTGTTTTTTTATCGATAATTTTTTTATCTCCTGAGCCTTCCAATATTCTCATTCATGTCATTTAACTTTTCTCTCATTGTTTCTATTCCTATGAGTCTTTGTACTGCCCTCTGGGACAATCTTCTGGCTCTGTCTTCCAATTCATTAATTCAGTCTTTAGCCTCATCTGCTATTTCTATTTATATAGTTTAGTGGCTTTTACATTTTTGATAATCATAATTTAAATTTCTCAATTTTCTCATTGACACTTTTTTCTAATTACCTCTAGTGGGCACTGTGTGCATACCCCCACATTCCAGGACCAAGGTGCTCCAGTTGTCCAATCTCACAACTGATGGCTGATGCCTGAATACAGCTTCAGAGCTCTCCATGAAGTTGTCTGAGGCCTCTGTTTAGACTACATTGCATCATCTCAACTTCTTCCTCTGCTCAGCCCTGCTTACCTCAAGTATGGATCTCAAGCATACTCCAAAGTCACCCTCCAGTATGCTAACCTCAGTCTCAGAGTATGTGTCCTGGACAACCTGACCTAAGACATCAGTTGCTTTTGTTTTATGGATATAATACCCTCTCTCATTGCTGTAAAGATATTAATATTTCTTTCTAATTCTTTTTTAAAATTTACTCTATTATCTCTACTTCCCTAGGTTATAGTTACTCAGTTTAAGTTGGATGTCACCTTGATTGCATGCTGAACTTTGCTAATGTGATTCTCTGTTCATCTGCCAGCTGTTTATATTTTCTGTAGCTTGCAACTGGTGATCCTGGAGGAGAAGAAATGGGCTGCCAGGTGGAGATGCTGGTAGTGTGTGGTAATACCCTCCCTCCAAGAGATGAGAGGATACCTGGAGCCCCTCCTTTTCCCCTCAGGGAGATGAGAGGATACCTGGAGCCCCTCCTTTTCCCCTCTGGGAGATGAGAGGGTACCTGGAGCCCCTCCTTTCAGCCCAGTTGCTCACATTCACTGCTCTATGGGGAAGGAAGGGTAAGGCTGTGAGCTCCTTACCCCAAAGTGGTGGTTGGGGCAGAGAAGAGAGAGTAGTCCCACAATTAATCAGCGCACTTAGACACTCTCCTGTCTTTGTGTGTGTTTATGCCAGACTCAGAGCACCCTTGAACCAAATGGCTTCTACCTTTGTGGTAGTAATTTTCAGCTTAGATTTGGGGTTGTGGTTTCCTTCCATTTTAATCTCCTCAGTCTCCGGTCTAGCGCTACAGCATTAAACCTGTCACCTTTGAGGAAAAATGTATCAAGAGTGAAGATGAGATTCTCTCTTTGACATTCTCTCAGTTGTCCCAAATTTTGGTATATTTCAATATATTTTATGGAGACACCATGTCTTTGTGTTTTGCTCTCCTTGGATTTTAAATTGCTGAAACACATTGAAGTCTTCCATGTTGTTAAAAATGAAATCCACTTTCTGCTGGGTGCAGTGGCTCACACCTGTAATCCCAGCACTTTGGGAGGCTGAGGAGAGTGGATCACTTGAGGTTAGGAGTTCAAGACCAGCCTGGCCAACATGATGAAACCCTGTCTCTATTAAAAATACAAAAAATCAGCTGGGCGTGGTGGTGGGCGCCTGTAATCCCAGCTACACAGGAGGCTGAGGCAGGAGAATTGCTTGAACCGGGGAGGTGGAGATTGCAGTGAGCCGGGATTGTGCCATTGCACTCCAGCCTAGGGGACAAGAGCTAAACTCTGCCTCAGAAAAAAAAAAAAAAAAAAAAAAAAAATCCACTTTCCTCTTGAAATTATCTTTCATTTGTAAGGATTATACCCCTTCTCCTGAGGTCCAGCCATGCCCTTTGGCTCTGCTATGAATAGTGTTGCATAATTACAATGCTATAATCTCTGTTTTTCAGTTTTTGAATAAACCTATAAACTTTAATTACAGTGTCAAGACAGAAGGTTGAAAAATGTAAATGTAGTAAACATCCACTATGTAAAAGTAATATTACGTTTGGAAATCTAGAGTTCTTATGGTGCATATTGTCCCTTCCACTAGCCCCAAACCCCTCAAAAAAAAAAAAAAAAAGATATAAAAAGAAGACTCCATAGCCATACTAGAAAAAGGAAGAAAGGAAAAAAAAGGAAAGGGAAAAAAATGAAGAAAGGGAGGAAGAAAGACATCAGAAGTTTTGGAAAACAGATTTTCTGTCCCAATTTGGCTCACTTTGCTGCTGTTTGCCAAGGTTTTCTCATTATTCTCTGGTCACTTCTGCTGTTTCTTGAATACCTTGTCTGCTGCTTTCAAAGTCTTCTTTCTCCTCTGAAGTACATAAGTATCTTATTATTGTTTTCCACAAAGTATAAGTGGAAGATAAACTTTTCTGAGAAGCTGCATGTTAGAAAACATCTTTGTTTTGCATTTACATTTGATTGATATTTTATTTAATTATTGGGTCATAAATATCAAAATGATTTTCATCAGAATTACTAAAAAACATTGTTCCTGTCTTCTAACTGTTAAGAGATCTGAGACCAAGGTGATCTTCTTTTGTGGAATGCCTCGTGTGTGTGCGTGCGTGTGTGTGTGTGTGTATGTGTGCACACGCCTATGTTATATGTTCTCATTTCTAGAAGCATTTAGAAACTTGTCTTTATTCTTGCCATTCTGAACTGTTATCAGGATGGAGATGGGTATGGATATTTTGTCATTTTTTCCCAGTTGACACTACTTAGGCAGTTTCAATCTAAATACTTATCTCTCTTCAGCCTGAGGAATATTTTTCTCATATATTTTTTAAAATTTCCACCCTATTTTCTGTAATCTCCTTCCTAGAAGTTCTATTTGTCAGTGTTAGACCTTTTGTATCAACTGTTTTTATCTCCTACCTTTTTCTTTTTTTTTTTTTCACAGTTCTGTTTTGGAAGTTGTCTTTGACTTTATCCTCTGACCCTTATATTGAATTCTTTTAGGATCAGTCATCACGTGTTTTAGTGCTTCTAATTATTCCTTTTTTTATGGCAACGCATTTCTCTTTTAAGGACATAAAATTTTCTCAAATCTCTTATGACATTTTGATTAAAAGTTATTGGGTTTTCTTTTTAAAATTATCTGTTTCCTGAATTGTCTGTTTAGCTGGGATCCATTTTTTTTTTCTGTTTGTTAGCCTTGATTCTTATCTCAGGCAATGACGGTTTTTTCTGATAGTTTAGTAATCATTAGTTTATGTTTGCTAATATTTGTATCTGTGAACACAGATGATGTATGTGTGGCTGTTTTCAGCTGTTATGAAATTTCATTTCCCCAGCAGCTCTCTCCCCAGACTGTGAGGACCGCCTTTGAGCCCTGTGGATAGAGGATAAGGGCAGTTCTGTCTTTAGGGTGTCCAAACACAGAGCTGGCAGGCATGCTGTCATTCCCTCAGTTAACCGCTCCCAGTCTTGGAGATGTCAATTACAAACTTGCAGCCCCAGACTTTTTTAGGCAAATCTTCCACCTCTGCAGACAGCAGCTCTTCACTTGCTACTCAGTGGTAAAGAGTATGGCTGCTGGTCACGTTCTAAATATGGATGGAATCCACTGGGCCAGCTTTTGCATACCCTGTTCCTGTCACTGCAGTCCTTGATGATTGCTCCACAGTCCGTTCTTGCTCCCAACGCTTACAGGCTCTGAGCTTGAAGCTGGCATGGGGTCTCCTGGACAGATTTGCTGCTACATCTTTACAGCAGCCTTCTGTGTTTCTTCCAAGTAACAGCTCTCTCCACTCGGGTTGACACTCACTAAAATCCCATCTGCTCTCTAAACTACACAAACTCCTCAGAGCTCTAGACTGTGGTCCTGCCTTTCTGTTCTCCCTGGGCTTCCTATTGATCTCCTCTGTCTGTCTGTTTTGTTATTTCAATGGGATTTCTGGAAGCAAATGGGAAAACAGAGATGCTCAGGCCACCATCTTCAACCCAAACCTTCCTTAATTTTCTAAAGCACTTGAACCTAACTTGGCATCCACTTGCTGAGTTGACTGCAGATCCAATCTCGGTCAATTTTATGAGTTTATCACCCTTTCTATGATTATAGGAGTGAACTGGACTGTTTATAGGTGACCCCCCCCAAAGAAATCTCTTTGTTCTGGGCCTTATGACGATAGACCCCCCATGTTGAGAGTAGACACTGCTCACTCTCAGCCACAGGTGGCTATGGGGGCCTTGCTTGTTGTGGTTACCAAAGCCCTGGTGCCTCCATGCAGACACGCCTTCTCCCTCCATATGGACAGCACAGCTTACCTGGATTTTTCAAAATGTCAATTTCATGAAGATTTCTAAATGAAAGGACAGTAAACCAGAAGTGAAAACACAAATCCAGAGTAAAGAAATGAAAGACATCAATTCACACATAAAGAATGCATTGAATAAGTCTTGATTAGAATCTGATTCTAGGGGAGAAACCTATAAATATGTTAGTTGTGTCAGTTGGAAAAAATATTCATTGGAGATTATATGATACTAGAGAATTAGTCTTACTTTCTTAGATATAAAAATTATACTATGCTTATGGAAGGGAATTTTCCAATATTAGTATCTAAATCAAATTTGGCAAAATGTTAACAATTCTTGAACTCCTAAAGGAGGGTACACAGGTATTCTCTGAAGTATTCTTTTAACTTTTCTGTATATTTTAAATTTTTGTTAATAAAGCATTGAAGTCAAAATTGTGCTCATTTGAGGGAGCAGTTCTGAGTTATTTCATCAAAAGGCACCTGGGACTTGAGGTTTGCCTACAGTGGCTAGCTGATGCAGAATGCATGGGCCAATTACATTGAATTAATAGATTTTTCTGTAAGCTGCTCTCTCTGAGCCTCAGAATCTTGTCTACTGGAATGAATTGGGACCTACCACATTTTTGGGGGAGGGATAAGTTACAAGAATATTTGAAGGATTGTCTTTTATGTGAGATTTTATAAGGACAACAAAAAGATGAATTGAAAATGAATGAATTCTTATGTTGAATAAAAACTTATGTCTTTGTTTAGTTAACTTATGCTTAATTCTATTTTATAAATGCTACCTACAGGCTGGAGTGCAGTGGCTCAATCACAGCTCACAACAGCCTCAACCTCCTGGGATCAAACAATCCTCTCAGAATAGCTAGGACTAGAGGTGTGTGCCACCATGTCCAGCTAATTTCTGTATTTTTTTTTTATTATAGGGGCAGGGTTGGTCTCTAAATCCAGGCTGATCTCAAACTCCTGGGTTCAAGCAATCCTCCCACCTCAGCCTCCCAAAGTGCTGGGATTACAGGTGTGAGCCCCACTGCCTGGCTGAGGCACTGGTCTTAACCTCCATTTTTTTTTTTTCTCATTAAGCAATTGGTCTAAGAGTCTGTTTGGAGTTTCTTCTTTAGTTATCCATGTTCTAACTTGTTTATTAGCTCCTTTGTATGTTCTACAGCATTAAGAGGTTAAACACTCCCTTCTTTTGATCTACCAATGGATTGCCATCACTATTACTAATATTTTGTAAGGTCCAGGTGTATCCTCTTACAGAGTGTCTTACACTTTGGATTTGTCTGGGTTTTTCCTATAATGTCATTGTATTTACTCTGCTGTCCTTTGCATTTCCATAAAAACTATGTCTGATGAGGCTTAGGCTGAATCTTTTTGGCAAGAGCACTTCATGGGTGATATGAATACTTTACATTGTATCACATCAATATCAGATACATCACATCCTTGTAAATCTGTCCCACCATAATGGTGCTAACTTTAAACACTTGGTAATGTTGTTACCACTTATGAGAACTTTCCAGTGAAAAGGTACATTTTTCACTTACAAACAGTAAACAATTTATGGAGGGATACTTTACACTGTGCCAATTATCCTATTCTGGAACCACATTTTACCCAGTAATTTTAGCATCTACTGATAATTCTCCCCAGTGGCACTTTTCTTCCAGCTTTCTTCCCAGTTACTTTGGTTTATTTCCCCAGCTCTGACTTACAGGAACGATATCTCACTTCACGGCTACCTCCAGGTTCCCTGGAACTGGTGTTCAGTCCTACTCCCAGCTAGCTTTGGACTTACCTTCTTTTGTTCTCTTTCAGACTCAACTCATGTTTCCAGTCCTACTGTCTTCATTGTTTTTGCTCCAGTTTCTCCTTATATATGACTCAGGTTAGTACTGTCTCCTTAGGCATGACAGGGATTTGGGCATACATATTGTGCTAAAAGAGCTTATTTCTACCAGGGCATGCTATTTACTGTATCAACACTAATACTTTTTGAAGGTATAGAGAGGGCTCCAAGCAGTGGAAAATGTCACACTGTATTTTTTCACAGAAGTGTCCAAAGAAAAATAAGAAAATTGTTCCTTATTTGTTTTCTGCTAGTAGAAGTAATTTTGTGTCTTGCCAATTTGTGGAACCAGATAGAGAATTTTCCTGTCAAAGACCTCTCCTGCCATCTCAGTGCTCTTTCCTTCTGTGTTTTCTGGGCTAAGTTCTCCTGCAAGCTCAAAGAGGAACATTGCACATGGCTGTGTAAAGATGACAAACCAGGAAGGAGGGCTTCACATATTACATACTTGACATCAAATAGGTCACGCCCCTGGTGTTATATCGATCCAGTCAGCTTTCTGCTGTTTGAAGCTTTCATTGGTTTCTTCTAAGTTTCCTCTATTTTCACTTTTGGGCTTCATTAGTCTTCCATCCCTTGGTTCCTTAAGCCTCTATAACTCTTACTTTAAATTTTTTCTATCCTCTATAAACAACTTTTATTCCACCAGTTCCTTGTTTTCTGAGAAAGTAAGGCCCTTCTGTTCTAAGCAACAGAATTTCCTCACATTTAGAGTTCAGAAATGTTCTCTTCTTTCTTTCTTTCTTTCTTTCTTTCTTTCTTTCTTTCTTTCTTTCTTTCTTTCTTTCTTTCTTTCTTTTCTTTCTCTTTCTTTCTCTCTCTCTCTTTCCTTCCTTCCTTCCTTCCCTCCTTCCTTCCTTTCTTTCTTTCCCTCTCCCTCTTTCTTTCTTTTTCTTTCTTTCCTCTCTCTCTTTTTTTTTTCTTTCTTTCACAGGGTCTCACCCTGTTTCCAGGCTGGAGTACAATGGCACCATTTCAGCTCACTGCAACCACTGCCTCCCAGGTTCAAGTGATTCTCATGCCTCAGCCTCCCGAGTAGTTGGGATTACAGGGCTTACTGCCATGCCTGGCTAATTTTTGTAATTTAAGTACAGACAGAGTTTTGCCATTTTGGCCAGGCTGATCTCGAACTTCTGACTTTGGCCTTATAAAAAGTGCTGGGATTACAGGCGTGAGCCACCGCACCCAGCCCAAAAATGTTTTCTTATGCTACAAAAAAATCTTGTATTCCTTTGCATCCAATACCCCTGCCCCCCATCTCACCCAGCCCTAGGCAATCACTGACGTGCTTTCTAACACCATAGGTCTGACCTTTTCCAGAAATCCATGAGAATGGAAAGCACAGAGCATATGTTCTTTTCTGCCTTGCTTTTTTTCACTAAGTGTGATGTTGTTGAGATTCATCCATGTTGTGTGTATCAGAAGGCCATTGCTTTTTACTGTTGGTAGTATTGTATCATGTAGATATAACATAATTTATTTGTTTATATATTTAACTGTGGTTGGATATTTGGATTGTTTCTAATTTTTAGGTATTATGAATCAAACTGCTACAAGTGCCCATGTCATTTGTATGTGGAAATACACTTTCATTTATCTTGGGTAAATGTCCTTAATGATGATTGTGGTGATGATTCTGTGGGTGTCTCAATTTGTCAAAACCCATAAAAAAGCCTAACCTTAAAATTTATACCTTTTGTCTTTCAGTGGATGACTGTGGTGCATTCCTACCATGAAAAACTACTCAGCAATAAAAAAGAATGAACTGTTGCTACCACAGCTTAGATTAATTTTCAGGGAATTATGCTAAATGAAAAGCTCTGCCCTAAAGTATCACATAGTATATGATTCCATTTAAAAAGCATTCCTGAAATGAAAAAATCTATGGAAATGGAGAACAGGATAGTGGTTGGCAGGTGTCCGAGATAGTGAGAGTGAGGAAGTGGGGAGAGGAAGGGGGTGTGTGTCTGTACAGAGGCTACATGAGGGATTCTTGTGTTGATAGAACTGTCCTTTATCTTGACTGTGTCAATGGCAATGCCATGGTTGTGACATTCCAATATGTACTATTTTACCATTGGGAGAAATTGAGTAAATGGTACATAGAATCTTTCTGTTTTATTTCTTACAACTGCATGTGAATATACAATTATCTCAAAAAAAGTTTAATTTTTTCAAAAGGTGCACTGTTTTATATGTAAATTATGCCACCTTAAACTTGTTTTTTTGTTTTTTGTTTTAATGCCTTCTCTTAGTCTGTAGAACACTCATTCAGTCGCACCCTCCAGAGACCACTCGGAAGGTTTTTGGAGACACTGTTAGCTCTTTTTCCAGGCATGCGGTGCACTCATCAGGCACTGTGAGCCACTTTGCTCTTCCAGCTTTTCCCTTATTCATTACCTCTCCAAGAATCGCAGCCACGTTTCCAACCGCCCCTCCTGGGTCACCATGTACACTCAAGGAGTCAGCACAACTGAGCTCATCTACCAGCTTGACCCTCTCTGAAGACACATACACCTAGAAAAATTTAGCTCGTCTATAATTCAGTGTACACTGTTTTTTTAGATGTAGGTCTCAGACTGATGAAAGGTTATTTTCAACTCTTAAAGATTCACCATGGCACCAATTTTATCTTAAGATCCATGTTCCAATTTTTGCAATTTATTGTCAACACCTTATGCTGTTTGCCCCAAAACATGACTTTATCTGTTCTTTTTTTATCTTCAAAGGAAAATAAGTGAGAGAGAGAGAATTAAATGTGAAAGGAAAAAAGAGTGTATAGTAATTTTACTATTGCCAATTTTGAGCCTTCAGGCTTGAAATGGTCCTTAAGTCTTATAGGAAAAAAGAAAAAGTTTTGTTAGATATTGGGATAAACTTTGGAGGAATAACATTAAATCTCATGTTAATAAAACAGCATTTATGACCAAGCACAGTAGTTACTTGCTTCCAAGCATGTGAATTTGTTCCCCTAATGAGTCTAATATTTAGAGCATGAATGAGGACAGAAAAAGGGCAAATAGGATTCCCTATTTCTTTGCCTGAAGACAAAAATGTTAAATAGGATTTTGTTTCCATGAGCGAAATGTTTTAGATGAATCTAAAGAAGTTAGGCCTTCTTTTTTAGAAAACACACTATGTATTTGAATGTTAAATCAAGGTAGGTCACATGAATAACATAATTATGTTATCTTAAGTACTCATAATTGAGGTGAGATCCTTTTAATTTGCATATGTACTTATGAAAATTGCAAAGCTTTATAATACTGGAGAAAAATGATTCTGTGGTTTATCCAAGGAGACTAATTATAAAGTAAAAACATTTTAGCATCTTAGGCAGTAGATTGGGTGTATGCTACTACTTCATTAAGGTAGAAATATCTATTTTATGTACTGATATTCCTTATCTGATATTCCTAATCTGATGAGGCAAAAATTAAGTAAAGAAAGGCTTTTTATTTTTGTTCAATTCCACAATAACCAAAGAAAAGATCATCTCATTATTCCCATTTCACAGATGAAACAAAGTTAAAGAGGTTAAGTGGTGTATTAGTCTGTTTACACGCTGCTGATAAAGACATTCCCAAGACTGGGCAATTTACAAAAGAAAGATATTTACAGGACTTACAGTTCCACGTGGCTGGGGAGGCCTCACAGTCATGGCGGAAGGTAAAAGTTATGTCTCACATGGTGGCAGACAAGAGAAGAGAATGAGCTTGTGAGAAGGGACTGGCATTTTTAAAACCATTAGATCTTGTGAGACTTACTCACTATCACTATCACTAGAACAGCACGGGAAAACCTGCCCCCATGATTCAGTTACCTCCCACCCGGACCCTCCCACCACACTTGGGAAGTCAAGATGAGATTTGTGTGGGGACACAGCCAAACTATATCAAGTGGCTTGCCAAATTCACACACCTATCCAGAGCTCACAGTTGTTCTGCTATGACAAAAGTCCATACTACGCTCTACACTTGATTTTATGGGGACTGTTGAGAACTTAAATTCAAAGGCTATCAGATGACTAATTGGATTTGGGGGAAATGACTTTACAGTCATAAAGTGAATGAATTATTGTTGGATGTTTGATTTTAAAATATTTTCTCTATTTTAAATAACTGTCAATGAACATCCTTGCACTTACATCTTTAAACACAATTCCTAAGAGTGAAGAAGTTGGATCAAAAAATGGATGTGTTATGCATGTTGGTATATATCACTGAATTGTCCTCTGGAAATCTGGCAAAGCAATAAACTCATAAATGTCCTCTGCTTCTATTCTCTTTCTCTTTTCAATCTGTACTGCATGTTACCAGGCTAATATTCCCAATAAGCTATTTATTCATAACCAAAACTAAAGGTTATTACCCATTGTCTGCAAATGACTCCAAACTCTGTGTAACACTGAGTACCTTCCACTCTTAGAACAGCCTCTGTCTCTCACAGTTTTCTCTCCCTTATTTTTTTACATGACTTCTAGGCTTAGCTAAATATAGCCACCAAATAGGCATATATTTGCAAAGAAGGGACTGTATTTCTTTAATTTCAGCCCCACAATCTCTTTGAATTTATTAATATATTCACTCATCTTTAGCTATTGTTTCCTTTGACAAAGATATGCCCACTCTACTCATGCCATATTTTTTGTTTTAAATACAAATATTAAAAGTTAAGCTTAAAAAACTTAAAGCCTTTAAGTCAATTCCAGGGTACTAATAGGGAGGTTCTTTCTTTAGTCCGAGAGTAGACTTGGAAGGGCTTCTCACCTCTAAACACATTCTCCTCCCTACCATTAAATCTCTAAGATATGGATATGATTATATCACTTCCTTTCTTTTTAAGCCTCCAATTGTTCATCTCTGAATCCTAAAATAAATTCATGAATCCTAATAACAATTCAAAGTGTAAACTATTGCTAGAGTTTGAATGTCTTCTTCAAAATGCAAGTTGAAATTTAATTGTCATTCTAACAGTGTGGCACCACTTAAAAGGTGGGACCTTTAAGAGATCATTAGATTATGAGGGCTGTACCTTCATGAAGGTATTAATGCCACTATCTCAGGAGTAGGTTAGCTATTTCAGAAGGAGTAAAAGGATAAGTTCTCCTGATAAAAGTATAAGTGTGACCTGAATTTTCTCTGTCTCACACATGCACTTCCTCTCCATGTAATGCCTTCTGCCGTGTTATAACACAGCAAGAAAGCCCTCACCAGAGCCAGCACCATGCTCTTGGACTTCCCAGTCTCCCAAGTCATGAACCAAATAAATTTCTGTTTATTATAAATTACCCAGTCTGAGGTATTCTGTTACAGCAGCAAAAAATAGACTAAGACAACCATGCACAACTCCTAACAGTCCATTTTATCAGCCTCATTACACAAGTGTCTAGCAACTTCACACCCACCCAAACCTTCCTTCCCCTAAAGGCATCATATGCTTTAATGCATCATTGTCCTTGCTTCTATCCATCCTTTTGCAAAAGGCAGAGGTATAATTGAAAGTCAGACCACTAATTAGGGTGATACTTAGAAATATTTGCTACAGATATAATAATAGGTTACTATTCTTTATATGCAGTGAACTCAAACACATTATTAAAACATGGAAACTCCAAAGTATCAAATGAGCAAGGAATAGTAACAGGTAATTCAAAATAGGGGAAATGTGGGTGGCTTATAGAACATTAAAAGAATTCAAATAAAGAACTCACAGAATTCAAATAACAATGTGATACTGTTTTACTCATGACATATAATAAATATACATATATA